AGGTGGGATCAGGTGTCATAGACAAGTAAGCATTCTCTGTTGACCTGTCACACCAGACGTGTCCCAGTTGTCATGACCGGGTAAAAGAGAATCTTTAGACCATTCAGTATAAAAATAATGCCCTGTCTACATTAAATTACCTCTTTAATACGATTCTAGTTTTCTTTCTTTTTTTTATCTCATTGAAGAATCAATATATCAATATTTTTCACATACCCTTTTCATATTCCACACAAGGCTGAAAAATGTATCCATCTAACTTACCAAAAATATTCCATAAAAAAAAAGAATAACTGGGCGACTTTCATTTAAAAAAAAAATGCTTATAAACAAATCTTTTCAGTTGTTCTCAAGAGATCAGTCCTTTGCTTTGTTGCGCATGATATGTTCAAGTGTTCTAGTGATAATCTTCAAATTCCCCCTGACTACCGTATACGTAATAAACGCTAAGTACGAGGGGTGATCAAAAAATTCGCGAACTAATTGGATAACTTCCTTAAAAGACATAAAATGAGGTTTCAGTGTTTATTATTTTTTAAAGTAGTCCTCTCCCATTTTTATGCACATCTGCCATTGTTCTGCCCATGCGCGAATCACGTGATCAAGGCAGTCACGTGACATGCTCCGTAGCAGTCTGTTCAAAGAAGCTAAAAGATTTTTCCGGGTCTTATATTTCTTACCATGCAAGTTATTTTTTATAACAAGAACAGTCCATCTGTCAAAAATGGCCAAATCTCGGCAATAGGATGGGTGGATACGGATATCCCTTCCCACAATTAGTATGGTGACCCACCACAACCCGAGTTCTCTGTCTCGGGAGCGTCTTTTATCTAATGTGGATAAAGTATGGACGCATTCTTTTTATCATATCTCATAATGTTTAAAGTCTAAAGTAAACGATATTTTAGGGATTTAATTATTTTATTATTGTAAAGATGTTCAACCATTTTTCTAATTGTAACTTGATGATGTTTCATAACAAATTGCTCAGCTAAGGACACATTTTTTCCCCGGCTTGCTTTCGCTGGGCAACATAACAAACATCATTTTTAACCATCCCCCTGCCTTCACTAAAACAATCAATCCAATTAATGATTGAACGTCTGGTAAGTCTTTTGTCTTCATAAACCTTGTACAAATTATCATCTTCTACTGCAAAAGAATTTCCAAGTTATACGTTAAACTTTACAGCTGTTCATTGCTCGAGTACGACTGAGTCAACCATTTTTTTTTGTCACAAGTGACCTACATTTTGACGTCATTTTCACATTGTGACGTCACAAACACAGCGCAAAACACTATTTAACACCTGATATTTATAGAGATAGTTCGCGAACTTTTTGATCACCCCTCGTATAGTTTTCCTTGTAAAGCTTGAATAAGTTCATTAGTGAGATATTTCAAAAAGAACTTTTATCATTGTATCCATTAACCAGTTTCGGCATTTAAATGCTTTACTGTTAGCATTTGTAAGATACATGTATTTATAAATGAAGTTCTCTCGTAAACAACTTTTGAAAAAGTAATTATTTATTTTCTATGGTGGTGCGTAATCATTTTGTCTCATGAATATTCAAAATAATGCAGGCAAATGACAAATGAGCACAATCATTAGCTCTCCTGTGTTCACTTAAATACTATACTAGTTATTGCTATTATTATTTTATCGATAATTCTCAATGACATATCTTCAGTCTGTGCAATAGGTGGGAAAATATAAGCCCAGCAGATCTATCTATAAACTCATTTCAAATTCCGAACGAAAAACCAATAAATATTAAAAACGTGCAGTTTTTTTTTTTCCAGATACCTCGATCGATTACTCATGCTTCACCTTGGAGTGAATATTTCATTCACACCCTGCACTTAGAGTATATAAATGTAATGATAAACAAGAATAGATATGGATTACCCCATATCCAAGATATTCGAATTTTAATTAATTGGATTTTCACTATTCTCAGCTGATCTCTACGAAAAAAAAATTGCAATTGTTATGAAACTGGTTTATAGTTTCCCATGTCCCTAACAATAATGTCACCAGTTTCGCATCACTAGCAAACAGAGCATACATCTGTGCTTGCAAGTCCAACTGAATAGCCTTGGTCCACACACGTGCGATCAGAAATCTGTGCAGGTGTTGTATAACCATTTCATGGTTAAACACAGAGAGAGAGAGAGAGAGAGAGAGAGAGAGAGAGAGAATCTCTATCAGAGGAAATTGTACACGTGTGATAATTAATGAACAATCATCATGAGAGTAAAATAATTGGTGAAAATTGTCAATAGAAGAATGACCTATATATTTTTTGAAAGACTGAGGAGGCAGGAATTGAATGCTTCTTATTCATATTTCTAGGGAGGAATTTTTTTTCAAAATTCATTTTACGTTAGTTTTGTTTTCTTTCACGTATTACACACACATCGATATTCCTAACAATAGTTGTAATGTATCTGCTGAACATGAAGGGAACTATATTTTTTCAGTGCAATTGTGTAAAGAGTACCTGTTTAGTAATATATTGAATAGATAGTATGCACTGATGGAATATATTAAAAAGTTTCACCCGGATATTTTGAGTTATTTACATCTATTTGACAATTAAACAGAAATCAAAGAGTGTTAAATCGTTATTCTGAAAATTCTCTTACGAGAATAGTCCATCATAACTTAAGTGGGTTTTCCCGACATTTTTCAACCGGCGTTACATCCGTAAAGCTTTTGGGCCTCCACTTACTAGCACAAAATATCTCATAAGATAATCTACACAACGGATGCATATGAAGAAGTTTTTAAGATCTCTCTGGGTTTTTTAAGGCAACACACTAAAAAATATTTCTTATTTCATTGCATGTCACAATTATATATCCCCGGCGTGTGATAAACATTCTAAACCCAAACTGCCGTGATTTTGACTAGTTCAAAGAAACTGGAGGGATAAGCCGAGCCATATACCTACATAAAGATCGATAAAAAAATCAATAAATTCATTTTACAAAAAAAAAAAAAAAAAAAAATGGTTATTACCATTTGCATACAAATTTGACAAAACCTGAATACTGTAACAGCGAAAATGATTCTGATAAACACAACAAAATGGCATCACGCGCAATTTTCAGAAAAACTGACATAAATTGGATGATATAACTACATTTTTTAAATAGAGTGGGTCATCGTACCATTTTTTTGAGAACGATTAATGAAAGGCAATGGAAAGATGTTGCTTTTTACACTTGCAAAAAGTTGGTATGAAGACCCACTCTACATAAAAAATTAAGTTAACTTACTTAAATTTTCACCGTGGTCTTAAAGCATTCTAAGTCCAAATGCGCTTGCTAAATATAGAGACCTGTATACTATTTAAATGGGCATGTAGGTGTGACTCCGTGGTCTAGTGGCTAGCGAGGAGCTCTTTAAAGGGACGTTTGTTGAGGAAAGTGTTCGAGTCAAGCTCTGATTTTTTTTTCTTGGTTTTAATTTTGTTTTACGTTATAAAAAATGTCTATAGGAATAACATATTTTTCACTGGAAATAAGATATATGTATGTAGTAATGAACTCATTTACAGTAAATTATTTAAAATGCCGGATAAAAATTACCGTATAATACATGCAGCTATTTGAATATTTTTAGTTATTTTTACTACAAGCGCTTCTAGATCACCACTATCATTATATACAATATTAACATTTTTATAATATCTCCACAATAAGTGTTAACATTCAATTGGCAGATTAATTAATAGAAGTCCCTACCCATGTTAGACACTTGTGACAGTAAATGAAAGTTAACTGTTTAGCTTGTTTAGAATATAAATATCATTTTGAAAACTACTGTAAACATTAAAATGCTTAAGTAAATTCGAACAATTGATAGATTTTTTTCCAATAAATGTTCTTGCATAGCCGAAAAATGGGCATGGGCACATGGCTCGTCTTATCCCCCCAGATTCTTTTTTCTATAACGACTGTTTTTTTCCTTCTTAATTCATTAAAATAGAAAAAAATGTAGTTCCTTAAAAGGGTATATGTTTAAAATATATAATCCATGTAAAGACTATTTAACCCATTATGATCATATATTTATCCTTACCTCACCCAATTCGCCTTTTATATCAGAGGCCTGTTCATTTGAATCATTACCTACTACTGTTGAATCATCATTGTTTGGTGAGGAAACCAATGTTTGTGAATTTCAGGAATCGTCAGGAATATACATCCCCCTCGAATTAAAACATTATCCAAGCGTCGATTTCTTGGATCTTCAGCAAATAATTACCCACGAAATTAAATCCACATGAACAAGAAAATGTCTGATTGCCCATGGGCATTTATCTCTACCTAATACAATTATTTCATAGTATGTTCCAAATAGTAAATAAAGGTTGTTACTGGTTGTAACTGGATTTTTGTGAGGAAGTCTTTGATGAGAGCAACTCATTCATTATTCGATGTAAAGTAAACTTATTAATTTCACATTGCTTATATAAAGATGGTACCCATTACTACAATGCAGATTTATGTATGTTGCCGTTCAGGAGTTTTCTCCTTTATGCAACTTGTGGGTTTCCCAATTCTGTATATTGGACAAAAGAACTATGAGTCAGGATTAAAATCTATAAAATTTCATTATTGTTTACTGTTTTTAAGCTGCACAATTTTTTTGAATGAGTTCCTTTTTTCTTACTCCTGTGGAAATATTATTTCTTTCCCAATTAGAAATGGGAATAAAATATTTTCAAATAGAATAACGTTTTAGGGAATTATAAATAAATTTACAAAAGTATAAAAGTATTTCCCAAAATACTGAGAGTTCCTTGCATATCATATCAAAGTCAAATATAGTTACGGGAGAGATATTTCAACCCCCCCCCCCCCCCCAATCCCCCACTGATTTTCTCGCACTCAACAATATCATAAAATTATTAAATGTAAGAATCAATCAAGTATCATAAATTCATCAGCTCCCACTAAGTTAATTAATTTTCAATTGTAATGGTTTACGCCATCACCGTTTTCGGTTTTCTCTGTTATGTTAAATAAGGGGTATGACGCAAGCGCTTTATCTTTAAAACGCTTGAAAATATGGATTCTAGAAGCGCGTCTTTTGATTTTGACAAGGCAATAGAATCGTGGACTGTTGAAAAATTAAAAAAAGAACTGATATCCAGAGGAGCAACGACGAAAGGCAGAAAGGCAGACTTAATAGAGAGGTACATGTACAGGGCATACAGTAATTATTTACATGTATCACGAATGAAAACTTTTATTCGGCTGTTCAGTTGCGTTGTCAATGTAAACATATCGAGCTTAGTCCAACCTACCCAGTTATCGTTTTCGAGTTGTTGTAAATGAATATGTGTTATTTAAGTGTACTACTTATATGGTGAACTAGGTTAAGAGCATACGACAGAAACAGAAATTTTGAAAGTGACCAAATCTTGATACCTACCCCCTTGGAAGTTTCATGGCCTTCAAAAGGATTCCAACAACTTACAGAGATCCACAGAGAGGTTATTCCACAACTCTGTTTGGAACAAATTGTATTTGTACACAGATTGGCCGGTAATTTATTAAATTTTGATGCTTAGTAGTAAAAATTAGTAAGAACTCAGAATCTTAACATCATTTGATCTGTTGATACATGTATTCCAAAAACTACAAAATGTATTAGATTCATTTAGTCATTATTATACAGGTGACAAACAATGTTCTGGGGACGTAAAGGCGATTGAAAAAGGCCGAAACCTGGTGCAAAGTAGGCGAATTCAAGCAGTTTCATTTCTGTTTGAAGAAGGTGATATGTACCTGTCAGGTATTGTTGGAGCATCCATGAAAAATAAGGTAAAATGTTGAATTTAGTAGTAAGTTATCAAAAGAACTACTGATATATTACTTTGCAAACTATAAAATTTACATTATACAGTCAAATTCAAAGGTCTGTCCAAAACATTATTTAAGTTCCTCTGAGTCACAACATGTTTTTCATGACCACAATGTACATATATATAAACACTTGCCATATAATCTACATTACCAGGTATCTTACACTTTCAAGTTAAAACTTGATAAAGTTACTGGTGATATCCTCAACTCACACTGTGAGTGCCCTGCTGGCCGTGGACCTCATGGTACCTGCAAACATGTTGCAGCAGTTGCTCTCATGCTCTCAAAGTTTGTGTCAGGAGAGGAGATGTATATCGAAAAGTCCTGTACTGAAAACTTACAAGTCTTTCATAAACCACGGTATAGTTACAATGGTAAGTATTAGTTAAAGTACATTAAGCAGTACTTTACAAGAATGTTACAAAAGGTGGATGAAAATATGTCAACAAGTGTACTTTCATCCTTTTTTTATCCACATTAAAAATATAATGTTTTAAATACAATGTTTAGTGGAAAAATCTAAATAATGAACAGTGTATGAATTCAGTGGTTTTTTTTTTTTTTTTTGGCCCCTCAAAATGACTCGGCCAATCAGTGAAATTCCATATAAAAAAGTACATTTTACACTGCAGGTTCACCAGTGAAAGCTGAAGAGCTGCCAATGAAAAGAGGGCTGACAGAGGATATATTTGAAGACCCCAGACCAGTGAAATACAGGAACAGTACTGGATTTCCAGATAGAACCAGAAACTTAATCTTTAACTACTGTTCTATGACGTCAGAAAATTTGACCTATCGATATTTACATTCCAAAGCAGATATACAGGTACATGCATTACAATCTATTTTGATTTTTATTCAATTTACATATTATTAGTTCTATAAAACATTTAACATTAAAAAATTAAGATGTTTCAATCTCAAATATACATGTTTTTATTTGATAGACAGCTACATTAGATCACGATTACCTTGAGAAGCCTATCACTGAGTACTGGATAGACAGTGCTTTACAAGTAAGTCATTTACACATTACGCAAAATGGCATTGTTTTTATTTTAATGAAAGTCTTGAACTTCTATGAAGTCTGAAGTTTTATCATACACAAAGTCATTAAAATCCAATGTTGTCTTTTTTCAAAAGAAAATTTGCTTTGTCTGAAACATTTTGTTAATGGTTCAATAGGTTACAGAAAGAGAAGCAGCTGCTATTGAAGAGAGAACAAGAGGCCAGTCATCATCAAAGTCTTGGTTTGAAGAGCGTAAATGGCGGTTGACCTCCTCTAGATTTGGCGACATTTGTTTAGCCACTCATAGGAGAAACAAGACTAAATTATGTCAGTCTCTTATTAGTAGTTCAGCAGTTTCTTTTCGTCATGAGGCCACCTCACATGGTAGAGTTTATGAAAACAAAGCTATAAGTAGGTTTGAAACTAAATCTGGCCTAAAAGTGAAGAGTTGTGGTTTGTTTGTATGTGTAAAAAAGCCTTATTTAGGTGCTTCACCTGATGGTTTAGTATCGGATGATTCTTTGATTGAAGTCAAGTGTCCGTATAGTGGTAGACATGAAAAGATATTTCCTGGAAAGCATTTTAGTTTCCTTGAATGTAATTCCAAGGATGAGATTGTTCTGAAACACAATTCAAAGTATTATTTTCAAATACAAGGTCAGCTGTATATTTCGAAGAGAAAGTACTGTTACTTTGTAGTTTTTACTTTTAAGGATGTCTTTGTGCAGAAAATTGAAATCGACCAAGAATATTGTGAAGGATCACTGTTACCAAAATTAGAGTTGTTTTATGTGCAGCACTTCCGACCTTTTTTATCATCTTTACTGTAAATTAAACTAATGCCATATTTGTTTTATTGGCATCCTGCCATACATAATATTCTTATGTAGCTACTGGAAATTTATGGTATTGTACCCTATAGATTTTTACCATTGTTTGAGAAATGCTGAAAATTATGTATAATGTGCTTGAGTGTCAGAGAATGTTAAAGGCTTCCTGATCATTTTCAAAAACAACACCTACATGTAAAATGATATAAAATTCTCATCAGTATTCTCATAAATGCTTGTCAGAAGTAATGTTTTATTATTTGTTAATAGCACACTCTAGAGTAAAAATAATATATTTGTTGCATAAAAATATTTTCAAACAAATCTGACTCCTTTTTTTTTTATTTGACTAAAACTTTTATTTCATTATTTCAAGACACGCACACAAAATGTCAGGAATATGAACATTTTGAAACTACTTGTTTAAGTTGAAATATGCTGAGAAAACTCTCTTAAGATTCATTGTATGCACAAGACAAATTTACCACATTATGACATATAATGACTTATAATGAATTGCTGCTTATATTAGTCTTTTTATACCCCCCCCCTCTTGAAAAGTGGGAGGGTATTTTGTGATTGAGATGTCCGTCCATCTGTACGTCCATCCGCTTTGGGGTACCCATCTCTTATCTGCAACTCCTCTTTTACCACTGAATGAAATTTAATGAAACTTTCACAGTATCTTTGTTATGTAGTGCCACTGTGCACCTATTTTACTTTTTGATCTGACACTTATTTTGGGTCTCCCAGAACGAAACATGGACTTTGCCATTAAAATCATATGGGGGAGGGGGGTATCATTTAGTGAGCTCAGTGCTCACAGTACCTCTAGTTTATTCTCCATGGCTTTAAAAAATATTTTGAACTTAACAAATATACCAAATTACATTCATAAAGAAGCAAAATCGTACGTCCCTGTCACCATAAGCATGCTTTACTGTATATTCCATATTGCCTTAGATCAGGCACTTTTATCAACAATACAATTTCTGAAATTGGACAAAATAAAACAGATGTACACAATTCTGGAAGCTAAGGGAACTTTCGACATTGGTAGCTCGTGTTTCAAAATCTTAAACCTCTTGGCAAGACCAATCACCCTCTCTACATGAATGCGTTTAGAAGCAACTCTTCTATCTCTTACTATGTCTTCGGGGCTAAGCTGACTCTTACCCTTTAGAAGAGTAGGGGTGTTAACACAAACATTTTGATTTGCAAATAAATCTTGAACTAATATTCCACGGTCTGCCATTATGCTGTCACTAGCATCAAATTTAGCTTCGTTTATTAAGGAAGACCTTTCAATAATTTGTCGGTCTGATGCGGATCCCCCATAAGCAGAAGATATATAAGATACTGCTCCATTGGGAGTTATACCAACCATGGTTTTAAGGGTATTTTTGTGCTTATATGAGGACCATGTTTTGGACTGAGCTTCAAGATTTGAGGGTTTGTGGATCGGTTGTTCGGTTGCATCCAAGATGATGCGTGTATTAGGGAACTTTTTAGCAAAATCAGTTGGCATGTGTTCCTTAATGATATCCTTTGAGGGCCAGAATTGTTCCTCTAGCTCCTTAAATTGAAAATACAAAAAGTTGATCCAAGTTGTTATAATCTTTGAAACAGTTGACTCACAAACCTTAAAAAGCATAGCAAGCTCCACATCTTCTTTTGCTTGTCGGAGTTTAATCAAAGTTAAAAAAAAACTGGTCTTGTGGGCTTAACAAAGCACATTTATAATTCAAATCAAAAGCTGCTGGTCCTAGAATGTAAAAGATGAGCATGAAATGCTCATAGCTATATAAGCCAGTGTAATAGGAAATCATCTTACTGTCAAGCTTCATTCCTTCAACTGAAAATTTGCCCAGTGTAGGAATGTCACACTGAACTTCCTTTTCAGCTGTTGCACACTCAGCTCGTAGATATTCTGGCTCAGATGATGTATCAGAAGGTGCCTGTTCCAGGACAACTTCATGTACAGCCATTTCATCCATCTGTACCTCTGTGGTAAAAGGAGTGTCTTGAACAGTCTGTTGAGTGTAGTCTCGCAACCTCTTCCGCTTTGATCTTTCTGTCTCTTGGAAAGTCTGTGTACCCGTGCTCTTAAAATCAAACACAGAAGGGACAGCTCCATGTTTAAGTCGACTTCGTTCACCTGTCACAGATGTGCACTTTTTAAAGATACATGCAGTATATTACAAAGAAGGGATAAAATTCAAAAGGCTTTAAAACTGGCAGTGCCTAAAGTAATTTAATTTATGCATATTATATATTGTAGTTAAATACTGGAGGCTCCGATCAATATAAAGAGTTTCCATGACAATAATATGGGATCATTTCACTAGTATTTTTCGTATTCAATATATATATACCAAATAATCTTGAATGAATACATACCAAACTTTAATGGTAATACCTGAAATAGAAGTAAAAGAAACCACAAAGCAACGCATACTAAAGAAAGAAAACCAAATGGCAAACGAATACAACGCAAAATTATTGAATAATGGAAATCTTTAAATTATTCAACCAGAATTCGAATTAAAATAAATGCTGAATTATATTCAACGAGTCTAGAGATGCTAACCTGACTCTGTGTCTTTGTAGTCATCCTCGGTGAAGTGTGCATGGCACACAATGTCCTCCTTTCAAGGATTCCATAGATTTTTTGTCTTCTGATCCATCCTCTTTATTGCAGCTCTCCATTTTAATCTTAAATTTGGTTCTGAGGGAAATTTGTGTCCCCCAAAACGACCGCAAAGTGGAACGCAACAATATTTCACCATTGTTGACGTCAAGCGCTTCACTGATCAAGCGTTTTTATTATCCCCCATAAACCGTGACTAAAATTTAAAACCGGGAACGGTGATGGCGTAAACCATTACCCATCTACGATCACTCCCAAATATTCTGGCGATATGAGTTGTAAAAGCCAACTGACTAGTCAGTCGATTTGCGCTGGCTTATTTTGGCATCGGGCTCGATTGTCCTGACGTCACAACACATTGAAAATACCCCCCATGCTTGCCATAGCAAAGAATAGGAATGAGAGTACCAAATCCCTGGATGTACACGTGGTTTTGTTTGTTATGGAAAGTAGAATAGAGTACTGAATAGTGAGCGTTACCTGATTGGCTGAATTCAGGTATGTATTTTTTTCTCATTTTAAAGTAAAAATATTAGTGTTTGAAATAAATGATAGAACGTAAGAATATTACAGAAAATATAGAAATATCAGGGGAGATTGTAGAAGTGGGGGTTGATATTTTTTGCAGATTGTCATTTACTGCCGATCGCTATAAGTTGTAAACAACTGCAATTTTGACCTATAAATGTCGCGGGACCATATATTTTTGGGGAGTTTTTTTATAAGCGCAAAGAACGAATTTTGAAACGGTGTATAGGATTTGTCTGAAAGTGATATGGTAAAGTACTGAGAAGGCATAAGGTTTGTATAGAGTTCTATGGGAAAATAATTTGTACTCTTTTCCTTGGAGCTTTGATATGCTGCCATACCGATCGGACCGACGAAAAAAAAGCACGCATCCTTAGGCGCGGATAATTACTGTGACTTATTGCTGATGAACTTCGTAAGCATAAACAAAAACAATCGTTAACAATTAAAGCGTGACTTGGGAATGTCAGATGTCGAGGAATTTCGGGGTAACGCAAATTACCGACCTTGTCCCATTGACGAACTTGGTTAATACACAATTGTGGATGAAATTAAATACACAATTGATAAAACACATAATTTGTCGTTTTAGAGTCCAATATGTTGCAGAGAGTATTATTTAACTTGTACTTTGTAACTCCACAGAGTGTTACTCATAGTAACGGGAGTAACATGTAGTTGATTTTAATGCAATCTGGGAAAACAACGCCTTCATTCCTTAAGCTTATAAATCCGAACGTCGCTTCCATTATCGAATTCAATCATATTAATAATGTTCATGAGACAAATCCTTACTTAGTTATGACATTTTCCGGGGAGGGGGAATTTGCCATTCTCATAATTCTTAAATTAAGAGATCATTTATTTTCTTATCGTTAAGGATATATTGGAATTTATACTCTTTTGCTTCCCTAGTGTTTATTTAATGCAAAAATATTGCAATAATATACATATTTGTTCATGCGAATCTCTTAAATACTCTATATTGTTATGTCGTAAAATTACATTTTTCCTTGTAGTAAATATTCTTCAGGTTTAGCTGTTATTGAATGATACAGATTATGCAAACCATTTTCACGTACATCATACACAAATGCATTCCACAATTCTGATGTTGTTAATACATACACTGAAATATGAAAAAGATAATATGTGTAAATATAAACTAAGATTCTACTTTAAGGTAGATAGTAGATTTGAACTTAAGCTTAAATTTTCATTAAAAGGATATTCATATCTTCTGATAAAATAACTTCTTATAAATGATTAATCATAAAAACAAGATAATATGTCACATGTATTTCCTAGGACAATATACACTGCATATTATAATGTTTGAATATACAACAAAGCAGTATATGTCCTTGAAGTTTTATTCATAAAGTAAATATAAGCTAGATAACAATATCCGTTTCTTTTAGAAATATTCACTTGCCCAATCTTCAAGTATTTGACAGTTTCGCTTGCCCGAACTGATAATTTACTTCCCCGGAACCGGACAACCGTCGATCCCTGAATTACCTGAGTTATGTCATTTTGCATAACAGTTTATTCACTTTTAAGATTAAGAAACATGTCCACTTAAAAAATAAAGATTTGGGTTCCTTTGTGGAGTCAAGCTAAAAACATGGGCCTATCGTTATATATATTCACTGTAATTTAACTATTCATGCGATAATTTTATTTATTTATTTATTTACTTGTTTGAGATAAATAGTTGGATGGCCCTATCCTTGGAAAATACTGACAATGAATATTTTTCAAATAACAAATGTTACGAACCAGAAATTATAATAGCCATTGTGAGTATTAAAGATAGTGGCCAAGAAACATAATTATTTAAATATACTGAAGCAAAATTGAAATACCAGACATTGTCCTTGAATGTACGGCGCCGATTAAAGCTTTAATTTTACCGATGTATTTACGTTTGCTCAATCTCTATGATTATTCAACTAATTTAAATTTTTAATTACAAAAAAATGTTAATGATCCACTAAGTTCGTTATTCCTATACACGTGCCAGGAAATTTGGAATCGGAAAGGGAAGTCAAAATTATCTATTTCAATCAACCCCAAAAGTTCACCATCCAGTGATATTAATTTTAATAAATTAATCATTGCTACTTATTTTGATTGACACTTAACTTTAAAAACCAGAAATGGTGATAAGTATATTTTATGATACTTAATTAAATCAGATACTTCCATTACCCACCCTTCACTGACTAATTCATGATGGAAAAGGAAAGAAAACCTGGTGTACCGGAAACGTAGTGACTAAGTCCCGGTACTGTACGGACGGAAAGCGAAATTCCGTCTACTAAAGCACCAATTTCTCACAAAATAAGAAGCGAAAGATCAGTACTACGGTAGGGCTTTGATTGCAAGTCAAGCTGGAGGGGAGGTTGATTTCATTTGTCTTTTGCAAATTGTACATATGTTTATTATTTCCAATTCAACTTGCATATATGACTGAATGCCTACATGTAGGTTTTTACATTGTTGATCCATAGTCCAAGTCCTTTGTTCCATACTCCATGATGAGAATGTTTTTCTGTGGCATCGACGGACGACCATCTACTTTTTCTGTAACCGTCTTTTTTATTCCATATTAATTAAAGAATAACCCTTTCCTTAATTGGTGCATGTAGCATTTGTTTATTCATCCAGTTACTGTATTGGTGCTTTTACGGAATTGGTATAAAGTGATATAAAAATCCAAGTCAGTCGTTATTTATATTTTTATTTTAATACAAAATATACATACCACCTGCCCGACATATTTGGATATGGGTAAATTTCTTTTTCATTGAGTCAGGTAAGGACCGACTAAAAGTCGAAGATGTTTGCAAATATTTTGTCAGTGACTCCCAGGCGAAAAGTGAAGATGATGTGACTGGCCTAGAAAATCCAAGATTGCGGCAATATGTTCCTACCGAATTATTTAAGTAGAGGGATAGGAACATGTATATTTTTTAAAAGAAGAAAAGGTAACTTCCGGTGGCTGTGAATATGAGGGTCGAAATAAGTGCCATAAAGTGGCTTCGACGATAAACGTCGAATGACCTCTCTGCTTGTTACTACTGTACAATGACTGATTTCATAAAACATCCGTTGTTATATCAAGGCAAAACTCAGACGTATAATTTCCAAATTCTCCATTCCGAAGGGATAGAAATTCCAAGGAAAAAATACTGGTCTATCCATATGCTTACATTGTAACATGATGATCACCATGATCAATGCGATCAAATAATATTACCCCGTATCTAGAGATATGAATGTTATTTGAAAAAAAAAAGAAATTGAGGAAAAAAACACGGTTTACACAAAATGCTAAAAACTAATATGCATGAACAGGCTGCAGGTGACAAGCACCCAAGGTAATCTTCGTTAATCAACACCTAGCACCTTTCTATCAAACGACTATTACAACAGCTGTTTAATGATCATCATATGCTAAAGTTGCATGAACTACCCCGTAGCCAAACTTAAGAAAGAAGCGATTTATGGAATAGTTCAAATCTTAAAACTGTATACTCTAACCCTTTTCTCTCGATCAGATATTTAATACCTACACTGTATACTTATTTATCGTTTTGCCAAAGTAAGGGAAAAGCCGTGGCATGTTTACATGTTTCATGTTGGTTCGTGCAAGTTGTAAGTTTTTAATCACAAAAAAGCACGTGATAGTTTCTTTTCCAAGCAAAAATAACACAAACCATCATAAAGTAAGAGAGAAGAGAGTGTGGGTTTATAAAAGAAGTTCCAATATTTTTATACCCTAAGGGTTAACCCAAATCACTTGATAGAGTACGAATTGCAAGAGGTTGATAGGTTGCTGTTTTACGTCCTTTGCAAGATTGTCTCCCTGAAATGAGACGTCATCGTATGCTGAAAATGATGTTTTGAACACATTTGAAACTGAACTACCTGAGGATGCTAGAACATTCAAATCACGCTTATGTTGTTTTTTAGAAGATAATTAAAGAATTTTTACAAATATTCCTTTCTAGAACTTCGATCCCTAGTCATGGCCCCACCCTTCCCCCGGGGGCTAAGATATGAAAATAATTGAGTCAACGCTACATGAACAAGTCTTTCATATTGGTGTGACTTATTGTGGCTCTGTTCTTCTTGAAAGAAAATTTTAAAAGATTTTTCTTAAATATATGCAAAATTTTACGCATGTATAAAAAAAACACAGGATGAAATTACACCATTCAGTCAACGGAATGGTAACTGAATGCCCACTGAATGTCCACTGAAAGGTCACTGAAAAGTTCCTTTCCAGTGACTATTCCATGGTCTTTCAGTTACCATTTAGTCGACTGAATGGCAGATGCATTTCAGTGGCCTTTCAGTTATCTTTCAGTTGTATCTTTTTATTGGATAATCGGCTTATTTTTTAACTTAGAAGTTTTATTTCACGT